TTTTAAAGAAAAACTATTTTAAAATATTTCTAATGTATGGAAAACTAAGAAAGGAAAAAAATCATCTTTCTCTAGTCTTGGAGGAAGACTTGTTCTTGTTTTGCTCTGTTGAAACAGTAAATTCTCAAATCAGAAAGTACAAGAATTTCATGAGCAAGGGTCTGTAATGGTTGCTGTTAACATCCCCTATGAAGACTTTTCTGCCCTGAAATTAGTGCTAGGTTTAACACATTCTTTATAATGCCTACTTTAAGTATATTAATTTCTTGCTGGATATACACATGGATTTTAATATTAACAATACCAGTGAATTCCATTTAGGGACTCTTGATTATTTTCATTTCTTGTTGATTACTATTGAGGGCATCATAGAATTATGGTAATAGAATGCATTATATTCATTTAATATGTGGGGTAAACTTGAGTATCTAATGAGTCCCTGATTTTAGACTCTTCAAGCACTGCCATGAATGTGATTTTGTTCACTTTGAGTCTTTGCCATCACTCACATTTTCTTAAGGTTTGGGGGAGTCTTAGAATTGCCCCTGCTTATACAAACAGTGGGGTGCTACTGTAGAGTGCTCTCCAAGGCACACCCGCGTGGAAGTGCCCACGGAAGTAATTCTTACGATAGGGGTTGAAGAATGAAATATCCATACCGTCATCCTCCCCAACACTTTGGATCTTCCCGCCAGAATCCTACCGGTATCATTCCTTCACCACTCCTAACATTGAAGTCCCTTATGAGGGAAAGGGAGAAATTTACTGAAACTCCTTGAATGCCTACTGTGCCAGATGCTGCTTCAAACATTTCGCACAAGATCCACAGCAATACTGCAGGTAAAATATGAGAATCACAGAACACAGGCAACTCATGTGCCATGGTCACCCACCAAGGGCACACAGTGTCATCTGTAACACATTCCTCACTCAAACCCTTGCCCAGGTACCGGAGAGGCTTATTTCATTCAGACCCTTTGTTGGTCTCTTAAAAACGACATCTGAGAACTCCCATACATCATTCTCACCCTGCAAGGTGCTTTAGAACTTCTCGGAGACTATCACTACATCTGTTGTTTCAAATTACTTTGGCTTCAAGCCCCAATTTCAAATGAATGAAAACCTCTAATTTAATGCTACATTGACTATTGGCATTGCAACAGTATTTTACCTCAACACTTCAGACGTCTGCAGAGCCCTAGATCTTCATAGCGGAGACTGGTGAGACAAACACCATTCACAACTTCCTTTCTATGGAGAATTCCAGGGGAAGTTCCTTAAAGCCAGTTTGCAAATATTTGCACTACATGGTGTCTTAAAAGTGGGGCCTGCTGATATCTACAAACAAGTGTTGAAAACAGAAACAGATGTCTCAACACGCCCCCGCAGGGTCAAGGTAGGCATAAGGAAGAATTCAACCCTGCATAGCTACTCCTTCTCTTCCTGTTTCCAAAAGCAATGGGATTTCTAAGAAAGTATTCTACTGCTCTAGACATCCCAAAGTAAATTTAGGGGAGGAAAAAAAACCATGACATCACAAATAGACTATAGATTCCAGTTCAAGTACTGATATTACCGATAGTTTCTTTTAAGCCTTTAATTAATTTCTTTGTTAAAGTTAATGTAAAATACAAGGTTGTCCATTGAAGTATCAAAATGTCAAGATTAACAATCACAATAAATTATTCTCTTCATATTACATTTCACTTTTAAAATAGAAGCCAAGAGCCATTCCGACCTGGATTTAAAGTGAATTAGAAACTCTATTAATCAGGGATTCAACTTGTTATGAATATTCAGTAATTGTCATCTAGATTAAACTTACTTATTCATTGAGTTGTATTTTATTTTCAAACCCAAAATAAATATTAGTATCTTTAAAAGAAATCTGTCCTAGAATTCTAACTTAAAGATTGTAAATGCCCAAGAAAGGTTTTGGGGCTTTCATTTGTAAAAACTCGACAATTTTACCAACTTATTAACTTATAGTTAATAAAACCTTGCCAGTTTTTCCTCTGTAGACATGCTCATAATTATCATACTATAAATGTTAAATCTACCTTTTGTTAATTTATTTTTGAAAAAAAAAAAGAACCCTGAATTCAAGCAGCCAAATTAATCAGAGATTGCTTTGAGTGTTTTTAAAACTCTCGAAACACAAATATTTACAAATTGTTTAAGAAAGACACTGAGAAAAAAGTCTGAAAGGGGGATAAAGTGAGAATTACATTTATAGCCAAGTGGCAAACAGTACAAGGCAGCTGTACAACAGAAAAAAATCGCTGATCAAATTAGGAAAAAAAAGAAAAGAAAAGAAAGCATGAGGAAGATAATCTCACAAAATGCTAAGGTTGCCAAGTTTATACTAGCCCGTTCACAATGAGCAAACAGCAGTCCTGTCAAAACCACTCCATTCACAAAGATCAAGGCATTCCTTCGGACAGGCAAGCGGGAGCCTTCACCGAAGGGATGGATCCAGATTCATGGCTTGAAAAACCAAAACCAGTCACGTTTATTTTTTATTTGCACTTTTTTTTTTTTTTTTTTCTGAAGGAAACGATGAAGAGCTTGGAGTCCTGAGTACAGGGCACAGTGCCAGCCTGCTTCTGTATTGTGCTCATTCCTACTTGTCTGTCCTGCTTCCTCCCTTGTAACCACACATACACGGGGCCTGGGGTGGCTATTTAAAGAGGCTTGCAAGGCAGATTTGATTAACATATGTCTCAAAATAACTTCTCTGTGAGTTTGTTTTAATCTTGCTATTGCCCAAGTATGGGTATTCCCATCACATTCTCAACCTGCTTCACACAGAGGGGCATCCTTGAACGTGGACTTATATTCCACCATACAAGTTAACTTCTCACTTAGCAAATTACCAAAACCAAAATTTGATTACAGTAAACCTGTGTCTAATGATAAACTGGGCAGGAGGGGTGAAGAACCCTTAATGTAAGCTTCATAAAAATGAACCAAAAAATTTTTTTTAAAAAGCAGTCATTTTAAAAATTTAGAAATAACACAATAACAACACACATCTCAAACTTAAATTTCTAAGGGGAAAATCAACCTTAAATTGTTATGCTAAAATTTTAATGCATCCGCTACAGACAGTATCCTAAACGTCCAAATTAATTTGATGTCAAGATTAAGGAGTTTAGAAACAGAATTAGTTATCACCTCTCTGTCATGTTCTAGTGCATGTACTTAAAGGTGGATTTTGCTGTTTTCTGGAGTACATACTTACATCAATTTAAAAAGATGTTTCTATCAATTTAAAATAGGTATTTCTGTCTTTGTAGAAATGATTCAATTCTTAAAACATAGTTGGAAAAATAATGACCACCACAACCACCATCAAATGACTGGACAGCAAGCAATTGGCTTCTTCAGGAGTTAGCCCCAGTTGTCACGAGGTAGCTCAGTCTCAAGAGTCTGGTTGGAAATAAACACTGTTATTTCACGGTGATTACATTTTTTCAGCCTACCCACAACCTGCAAATAGACTTTGAAATAAATTTACCTTTCCTTCATTAAAAGAAAACATTGTTGCTTTCATTTTTAGAGTGAAATCTATTACCCTGTTTGGATATGCTGCACTCTTCTGGGCATAGAATTTCATAACAAGTATCAAAATAATCAAGTCTTGAAGTCAGATTTATCAAGCCACAGTTTCTTATCAGCCAGGACTTCCGAAAGTGTGACCGGCCCAATTTGGAAAAAAAAAATACACAACAAATAACGATGGCTAAAATTAATATTTCAGCGAAAACTGCTGCAGGATTTCTGACCTGGTTTTCTGTTTTTTCACACAGCCCAACACCTGGAAACAACTGTAACGGTGGGCGCTCTCCTGGAAGGTGCCAACTATTTTCCTCTGGTTTAAGGCAACAAGTAGAGGGCAAACTAAAATCACGTTTCAGGAGAAGGCTGAGGGTGAACACCGCTACTACAAAATCAGCTTCCAGGGGTGGGAAGTCAGTCACATATTCCTCTCTGGCAACAGTTTCTTTGGGGAGCAACAGGGGATTCATAACACAGTTTGTGAAATGTTTTCTCGTCCCTTCACCCAGAGGCAGGGGGTTCCGGGCCAGGTCAAAATGTTGACTGTATGCAGCCTGAGCAGGGCATTCCAAGCGCTGTCATGGGAGGTGGAGCCAGTCTCCATGACATTCCATGAAGCTGAACACTGCAAGGCTGTCTTGAAAGCAGTCTCGGTTGGACCAAGTCTTTCCTTCGCTGAGAGTTGTCGCATCCAAGACTTAATTTCAACAGGGTTCAATTTATTGCTTGGAGCTCTGGAAGCATTAAAAAAAAACTGTCTTCTTCTGATGGAAAATTTGACCAACTGCGATGAGGTAAATGAATTTCGAAAGTGGGGGAGTGTGAGGGAGGCATACAACTTTTTTTTTGGGGGGGGGAGGAAGGGGGTGAAGGTGCATACTTAGAGCCCCAAACATTCCCTAAACCCCGAGTGTCCATGGATGTAGAAGGGTGTTAGCGAAGCAGAGCTGAGAGCCCAAAAGCTCTGTGGGGAGCCTAGAGACTCCGGGTTTGAGAGTTACTGGGCACCGGGGAATCCCTGTCTTAGGTAAGGAGAGGTGACTTGAGCAAAGACGCGCTTCAAAACTACCCCTTTCCCTGCGTTCTCCCCGGGATCGCCAATTGCGAGTGCTGGGGCACGCTCCCGCCTTAGTCGCGGTCACTCGAGGATTCACCACCTTTGGGGCTCCTGCCCGAGGGGGACTTGGGGCCGAGTAAACTCCAGGCTCTGGTTCTCAGGGCGAGTCAGACCAGGCTCCTAGGCACAGACCCAGCCCTCCGCGCCCTGGGGAGCCACGACCTCCCCGCCTCTGCCGGGCCCCCGCGAGGCTGCGCTTCCCGTAAACTCCCCGCCCCGCGCGGCCCCCTCCCCGCCTCGGCTCCACCCCCGCGGGACCCTGGGAGGCGTGAGATTGGCCCGGACTCGCTGTCACTCTCCGGACGCGTCACCGCCCTCGTTTCCGACCGCCGGAGACCGGCAGTGCTATCAGTGCACCGCGGGGCCGCGACGGAGGGCAGCACGGCGCCTGGTTAGCCGGAGCTCGCCTGCAGGTCGGCGCGCTCGCTCACCTGAGCCGGGTCCCGGGGCCGCAGAGCCGCCGGGCTGCGCGCGCGCCGCCGCCCTCCCGGACGCGCTCGGAGATGGGCGGCGGGAGAAGTTGACGAGCCCCCGACTAACGCGGCGCCCTTGCTGCTGCCCAGAGGTGCGCCGCCCCTGCCACCGAGGGGTCCCGCCGCCCTGACCCAGATGTGCGCGGGACAGCCAGCTCCGCGACTGGAAAAACTTCACCCCAAGTCCTAAGTGGGCTCCCGGGGAGGTGCCAGCAGCTGGACCGCGGGGCTGGCAGCCGGGGAACTGTCCTGCGGCTCTCGGGGCCAGGGGAGGGCGGGGACCAGCTGGAAACTTTCTCACCCTCTTCCTAACCACTGCGTTTTGCCGTCTCCTCTCCCCGCAGGGGCTGCCGCCAGCGGTGTGTCGCGCGTGCCTCTTTGCCAAAGGAGCCGCCCCGGCGAGGAGAGCCGGAGGGGAGCCGCTTGCGGCTGGGAGACCCGCCACCCAGACACGCGCTCTGGGCGGCCTGGATGCGCAAGAGCCGGCCCCGCAGCCGCTGACGACCGGAGGCGGCGAAGTTTGGCTGCTGAGCGGCTCGGCTCCCGGCCCCTGGACAGACAGCCGACCGGCGGCCGCAACGACCGGAGCGATGCCTGTGGGGGCCCTGTTGCCGCTCTTCAGTAGCCCTGGGGGCGGCGGCCTGGGCGGTGGCCTGGGCGGGGGGCTTGGCGGCGGTAGGAAAGGGTCTGGTCCCGCCGCCTTTCGCCTCACCGAGAAGTTCGTGCTGCTGCTGGTGTTCAGCGCCTTCATCACGCTCTGCTTCGGGGCAATCTTCTTCCTGCCTGACTCCTCCAAGCTGCTCAGCGGGGTCCTGTTCCATTCCAATCCTGCCTTGCAGCCTCCGGCAGAGCACAAGCCCGGGCTCGGGGCGCGCGCCGAGGATGCCGCCGAGGGGAGAGTCAGACACCGCGAGGAAGGCGTGCCCGGGGACCCTGGGGCTGTACTGCAGGACAACTTAGCCAGGATCCGCGAAAACCACGAGCGGGCTCTCAGGGAAGCCAAGGAGACCCTGCAGAAGCTGCCGGAGGAGATCCAAAGAGACATTCTGTTGGAGAAGGAGAAGGTGGCTCAGGACCAGCTGCGTGACAAGGATCTGTTTGGGGGCCTGCCCAAGGTGGACTTCCTACCCCCTATCGGGGTAGAGAACCGGGAGCCCGCCGACGCCAGCATCCGTGAGAAGAGGGCAAAGATCAAAGAGGTGAGTAAACCCTGTCAGAAATCCGACCCATGCCGTTGTTTCCCAGGGAGGTTTGATAAACGGTTGGAACTTAGGGCTTCCACGTTATCACACAGAGGCGAAGGAGGTCTCCTCGCCCACCCTTTGCCAAGGGCTGCACGTTTTTCCCTTTACTATCTTAGTAGTTAGGCTGTGAGGCTGAATCCAGTTGAACTTGGTTGCTGCCTCGGTGACCTTAAGTTGTGAGAGGCAGGTGTGAATGGGTTCATGGGCAGATGCTGCATGGCCCCCTCGCAGGCTGCAGGGAGTCCACTCTGAAAACAGCCACTGTGCAGGTGTTGAGCAGCCCTCCTCGCGAAGGCTTGCAGGTGGTTTGGAATGGAAGCTGACGGGAAACGCAGGACATCAAACATGCATGCCACAAACGTTCTAACAGCTAACCAGTGCACCCTAGGTTCAGTCGTGTGGCCTTCTCCTGCCAGGTGGCGTTCTGTGTGTATGTAACAGGCTGTAAACTTGGAACTTGAGACTTCCTGTCATGGGCCACCTGCTGTCTGTTACTGCTTTAAAACCTGAGAGCTACGCACATACACACAAACACACACACACACACACACACACACACACGCCTACTGCTTCTTGCATGTCTAGAACATTGTCAGAAAAGGGGTATTCTCTATGATGCAACAGGTCGACCTTCAAAGTGGTTCAGTAATAAACTTGACCTAGAGCAAACACGGACTTTGATAAAAGTCCTGTGTAATTTCTTTCTGGTTATTTTCACTTGTAGCATGTGATTCGTCTCTGGCAAGCTTAAAGGTGAAGGGACCCTAGGAAATCCTTCCAGGCTGTCATTTCAAAGGTGAAAGCTGAGAGCCTACAGCTCAGGAGGCAGTTAGTGACCAAGTTGAGACCCGAATGAGGAAGCAGACGCTTCCCAGTCACCAGGCCCTGGGGACATGTCTCCTTCCAGGCTGCTTCCCCCTGTTTTCCGGGAATCCAGACCTGTAGAGTTCTGGTAAAATCGTGGCATCCCAACTCTGGGGCAAGATGAACGTAAGACCATATGAAATGAGGTAAGGTGTCACTGAACAAGTTTAAGGGGACTTAGGTCCCTTTCAGCCTTCTCTGAAACTAGTTCCTGAAGTGCTCCAGGCCCATAGCTTTTCTGCTTTACAAAAACCCCCTCCTCACGCATAGTGGGGGAATGGGTTCTGCTATCCCAAGCAACTTCCCCCAACAGTTTTTCTTCTCAGTGAAATCCCAACAGCACTGCCCTTCCTGGAGAACAGGACACACTTCTGCCTCTTAAACAACTTCCCAACCTTATGTCTTAGGCTCCTGAATCAATACAGACCATTCGAAAATTTACTCTCGAATGATCAGTATCTGCTGCTATAGCTGTTTGGAGAGAGGATGTCATACACGGCATGCTCCTGAATCCATATGCACAGCCAGTTAACATGGACTGTAGTTTTCGGAAGAAGAGACTGTAAACACTAAACCATTAAGCTGACCATTAATAACTGAAAGTGGATTTAGAATAGACACAGTGACTAGTACAGTTCTCTGAGAACAGCATGTTAGCAGTATGTATATCCATCAGCAATCAGACCTTCCTTCTCTATGTCTCTAAACCAAAGGAACTTAATTTACCAGGTCAAGGAAATGTATGTAGCCTCCATCATATTGTGCCAACATCTTTGAACCTAGTTCAAACTGTCCTGTTTTACATAAAATGTTAGAACTAACATGTTCTTTAAAATTCCCTGCTGTTATGAGAACCCCAAGTAGTCACAATGATTTGCTTCAATATTTAGTCAACGACTACCAGGACTAAGGGAGAAATGGGGGGAGAGATGAATTATGATTTTCCATTAGAATAGTTCACACATTCTTTGTAAACCAAAATCATGAATAACTCATGCTATTCTCTTTTGCTACTCTTGGATAGCTTCATGCATGGATATAATAAATTTTAGTACCCCCACCTCCAGCCCCTTATCCTTAATTGAAGTTGTTCTAAAGGACCTAGTGGTGTTTGGTCATGGAAAAGAACAGTGGTTGATGACTCATTAGGCTTCTACTTTTTACATTTATATTTTATTTCCTGCACTTTAGTCTACTTGCTGTGGCCTAGTAGCCCTTTGCCTTGGTTCTGTTGTTTTGTTTTTCTATATGTTCTAGTTAAGTTCTTTAACATACTTGAATGTACTAAAAGTTTTATAGTTAAAAGCTGGATGCTATAGAATTGAATTTGTAAGTTTGGTTCAAAGGGAATTCACATTGTTTTTATAACACTGGCATAATTGTGTTGTCGGTATCATACTGGACTTTTAATAACTTTGTTTCTAAGGGGAGATAGGCTAATAATTGGAAACAGGATGCTACTTGAATGAGTGAATTGAATGAATTCTACCAATTCCATAAATGATGGATTTGATGTAAACTTTCCTCTTTCCACCCATGTGAAAACATTTATTCTGGAATTTTCCTGGCTTGTGTTATATGCCAAACACATATTATTGTCGTGAATTTGATATCCAGAAAATTGTACTGAAGTTACCTTGTGCTTTTAAGAAAGTGTTAGAAGTTAAATACCTTCATGGAATTATTAGGAATGTACTCTATTTCCCCTTCTACTCTTCCTTTTTTTTTTTTTTTAATTAGCAAGGTTTTTTTAGGAGTTTTTTTTTTTGGGGGGGGGGATGGGAGAGTTGTGGGCAAAGTGGTGAGCCTATGGTGTACCTTAGGATGAAGGCCCTAATTTACTTTGAACAATGAATGTTTTATTTTTCATTTTCTGAAGTTATGGAGCATTGTGAGTGACAAAAGAAGACAAAGTGACTCCTCTCATGCTGGAATCCCTCACAACATCAGAGTGGCATCGAGTACTGCGGGCAGGCAGCCTTGGGTCTCTCAAATGGGGTCACCTATAGCTACAGTTGTCATCTTGGTTTCTAAAGAGAAGGCTTTTTCATTCCAGACCTAATTATAGGGTCAAGCATATATAGAAAGATGCATGTTGATAACTAATGATTAAAACACATTTTATTACACTTTACACTAGCACTAGTTGTGTGTGTGTGTGTGTGTGTGTGCGTGTGCGCGTGCGCACAGGCGTTTCAGTAGAGTTTACAGTTTATGTTAAATATTAACTATTTGCCCTTTGGCCAAAGATCAGATGTCAGAATAAGTTACCTTGACAAACTGAAACAAAAACACTTTTATTTTGAAACTTAACTTCCCAGGTGACTTTTATGGGTTTTAGTGTGGAAAAGAACATTTACAGTGTAATGAAGCTATCCTTTGAAGTCCTAGCCCAAGGGGCTGCTATACTTTTCGGTTGTTTTCCTGTCCAACGGCCCCTGCTCCTTCATTTTCTTTATTAAATAGATGCTAGTGTGACCTGCCCCATTCAGGGATCCCAAGGCAAGGGAGCTGTAGAGATGAATAAGTCCTGATTTCAACAGTGTAAATACTAGAGTAGGTGCTAACTGCTGAAGTTATATAAACAAGAAAATATTGTGGATAGAAATGAACCATCTTCAGTTTAATTTTCTGCAAGCCCTTCTGTAAGTTTGATGAAGCGAATACCTTGGCTCCACTGTATCGGGTAGGTAAGAGTCACATAAGGGAGTCCTGTGTAGGGCTTACACCCTAGGAAAAACTGCGCAAGACAGCTTGAAAATGTGCATCTTGCCTGGAAACCTCTGCAGCAGCCCTTAGGTGAGCTAATTAGCTAAACCATCTTGAGAAATGGATCCTGGTGCTTCTAGTATGTAAAAATGCCTTTCTAAGAGAGCTTAGCTTCTTCAGATTTACTGTGGAACTCATATACTTGAAGTATAATGTTTTTATAGCCTTGATGTATAGATTCTGTACTAAATGGGGCTTTCGGCATGTGTGTCAAGGGCACAAGGCACGAATATGTACAGATGTCTATGAGGGAAGAAGGCTAAAATATAGAGGAGATGTGAAGTCCCTAGGACCTTATAATTTCTTTTATATCACATAGGAAGCCAAAATAGGATCTCAGAGGTAACGGAAATGATTGACACAATGACCTAAATAGATTAAAAAAAAAAAAAAAAGAAAGAAAGAGAAGAGTGTGTTCCATAGTGTAAAGATGCTTGGTTATTTGTGTGTGGGGGAAGGGGTGTCCCAACTTTCCCCCTTTGTTTTTCCTGGTGGTCAGTGCCTGAGCTACCGGAAATCACCTTCCTGCCTCATGCTCTCTAAAAGGAGGTTTATACAGGCTCTAAACGTTCTTTTTTGTTAATGTTGTTGTTATAAAAAATATGCCAGGAAAATGCTAGCCTCATGTTTTTGTTTTGATTTTAACAAATTTTTAAACCTCAACATATGTATTATATCATAAAACATCACAGCTGCATGGGATCTGAGTGGTGCCTCAGTTTGTGTTACTTTACGGCGGAGTGTGCAAAACACCAAGATTTTTTTTTTTGTTTGTTTGTTTTTTTTTTTGAAATCACCACTTAGTGGCAGAGTTGAATTGAGAATAGAATTCCTGGCATTGGCAGGCTGACCAGGTTTGTTCTCTACAGACCCTAAGATAGAAAGAGCAAAGAACGGATGTCGCCTAGCTCTGCCCTATTATAGATTATACTGTATTGGTTTTTAAGTAAACTATAGTGAGGTTTTAAAACGTTACTGTGGATGTGACTCAGGAGACGGTTTTTAAAGCTACATAGGTTAAGTGTGATGTGATGTGGTTTTCTATGTTTATAAAGTTCTCTACGAGAGTAGACGCATTTGTAACCACCCACACTGTACAGCTCTGTGTAGAGAAAAAGTGGTGAGGGAGAAACAAAGAAGGTCACAGTATATAAAAGGATGTGGGTGTCTAGAGAAAATAGGTGCAATGATTCGGGGAGCTCTTTGAAATATAAAGATATGTGCTCTAAACCCATTGCATTGTAGACAGCAGAATTCACAGTTAGGCGGTGAGAACTATAAAGGTTTTGGGGGGTAGATATACATTAAACACACACATACAT